GCCCAAGCCAGCCTCAAACTCACAATACTCCTGCCTCAGCCTCCCAAGTGCTGGGATCACAGGAGTGCACCACCACACCAAACCTTTAATATCTCTTTATTAACCTAAATCCCAATATGCACAACAGAAAGAGAAAAGCCAACTACGCAATGAGTCAAAAACAAAAAAAACTGAGTTCAATACTCAGTTCTACCATGAACTAGAAAATGTAAAGCATGTTATTTCAACCTCTTTGAAAACTGCTTTACTTCCTATTTTACAGATGAAGCAAATTAACCCTAGCATTTACAAATTCAATTTTTGTCTCAACTATTTATGAGCAACTCCAAATGTGTGCGTTGGTAGTAGTTTGTGATTAGTACACACATGAATTTGGATTGAGTACTACTGGGCTGAGGTGCAAGAACACGCTTCCTAACTGAACTCAGGCTGCCAAACTCTCTCTGCAAAGAACCAGAGAGCAGGCTTTGCAGGCCACGTGGTCTCTGTCTAACTACTCCTACTCTGTACTATGTTGCCAAAAGTACCGAAGGCAATATGTATGAATAAATAGAGCTGTGTTCCAATAAAGCTTTATTTGTAGACATTGAATTCGGTATCATATGATTTTCATGTGTTGTGAGGTTTTTTCCCAACTTTAAAATGTAAAAAAAATATTACCAGTTGTACAAAAACAGGTAGTAAACTCACTATTGTTGTTGTTTGGGTTTCTGTTGTTGAGACAGGCTCTTACTACGTAGCCAAGGCTAGCCTGGAACTCACTATGTCACACAGGCTGGCCTTGAACATGCAATCTTCCTGTTTCCAATGTGCTGGGATTACACATGTGTTTCATGATGCCCATCAGTGTAACTGATTTTTGATAAAGATGCAAAAGCAATTCAATGGAAGAAAAATAAGGTGCTACATGAATTAAATATCCACAGACCAAAAAAAAAAAAGAACTGTAAACCTGAGCCACACACCTGTAAAACTGGCTCAAGTGGATTAGATCTAAAAGTAAATATAAAATGATAAACCTTTTAGGAAAATAAAATAGCACCAAAAGAATGATTAATTAAAGAAAAAAGTCAATAAATTAAACTTCAGCAAAATTTAAAGCTTTTCCTTTGTTTATGCTGTGTGAAAAATCACACTGAGATGATGAAAAAACAAGGAATACACGGTGAAAATATTTGCAATATATAAAGAATTCTCAATGAAAAATTCTCAAAACACAATAAAAAAATAAGCAATTTGGCCAGACCCAGTGACTCACACATGTAATGCTAGCTACTCAGGAGGCAGAGATCAAGAGGATCACAGTTTGAGGTCGGCCTAGGCAAAAAGTTCACAAAACCACATCTCAACCAATTTAAAAAAAAAAGGCTCAGAGCAGCTTGCACCTTTCATTCCAGCTACCTGAGAAGTGTACACAGCAGTCCAGGCATAAATTAGTTATTTCCCTATTCAAGAACTAACTAAAGCAAAAGCAGATGAGGGCATGGCTCAAGTGGTAGAGCACCTGCTCAGTAAGTGCAAGGCCTTGAGTTCAAAACCCCACATCAATAAAAAGAAAAACCTTTAATTAAAAAATGGGCAAAAGACATTGAGACATTTTACTGGCAAGGATATATAAATGGCAAATTGTGACATGAAGCATAGGTTAATGTCATTAGCCATGAGACCATGATGTGGTATTACTGTACATGTACTGAAACAGCTAAAATAAAAACAGCAACAACAGACAGTGTCAAGAATGTGGAGGGACTTCATTTTTCATACATTGCTGCTGGGAATTTAAAATGGTACACTCTAGAAAACAGTATGGCAACATGGTAAAAATAAACTTTAAACATATACTTATGATATGACCTCAATCACATTCCCCAAAGAAATGAAAACTTTATGCTAAACAAAAACCTGAACAGGAATGTTCAGAGAAATTTTAGTCGTACTACCAAAAACTAAGAGCTAATCAAAATGTCTTTCAGTAGGTGGCTAGTTCAATAAGGGAACCATTTCATCCATACTATGAAATTCTATTCAGCAATGAAAAGGAGAAAGCTAATGAATATATACAACGTGGACAGATCTCAGACATCATGGTGAGTGAGAGAAGCCAAGCTCAAAAGAATACATACTGCATGATTCCATTATACAATATTCTCAAAGTGACAAAATGATAGAGATGGAGAAGAGATTAGTGGCTGCATGGGGGAAGGGATGGTAGGAAGGGTGGAGAGACAGAGGGCATGCCTACAGCTATACAGGGATAACCTAAGACAGATCTCTATAGAGGTGCAATAGTTCTGTGCCTTGATTGCAGTGGTAGCTGCACTAATATACATGTGGTAAAATGACACAGAACTACACATACATACTGTACCAATGTCAATTTCCAGATGTTAGTATTATATATCACATAAGATGTAGCCACTGGAGAAAGCTGGTGAAAGGTAAGGGCCTAGCTACTAGTTTTGCAATTTTCTATGAATCTATAATTATCTCAAACAAAAAGTTAAAAGTTTCTAAAAATCTGAGGACAGGCACACAGGGAGAACAATGCTCTGTAAATAACAAGAATCGACCCACTATCCTTATTAATCTTAGTTTTAAGTAAATGCCTACATGAGTCACACACTATTTTAAAAGGTTTCCATACATTGCCTCATTCAATCCATATAACCACAATATAAATGAAATATTACCACCCCATTTTTCAGACAGGAAACTGAAATTGAAGAGAGGTTAAAGTAATTTGCTCATGGTCACACAATAGTGGTAGAGCCACAATTTAAATTCAAATGAACTCTCTAGAGCCATGCCTCCTGCACAGGAGGGTAACAAAAGTAAATATACTGGGGGGGGGGGGAGGTGTGTATTAAACTGTGCAGAAGCTTGGACTAAACAATGTTAAACCAGTATGTTTTTTGTATGGGTTTCAGATCATCAATGCCAGTGCATGTCAGATATCTGGAATACTACAGTATACCATTTTTCCCAAATGTTTCTAACCAGGGAGTCTGCCCAGCCCCCCCCCCCCAGAAAATATCATCCAATAAATAATCCCTCAGCCAAAAGTTAAAATGGGCCTGATCTTAACCCATTTCTCTCTTCACATATTGGCAAACTTCAAATGTTTAGAGCTGTGCTGTCTAATGCAGTAGCCACTTGCCATATGTGGCCAATTATAAATGAGAATAAAATTTTAAAAATCAAGTTCTCAGACATACTAGCCACATTTCAAGTCTGTTCAACAGCTACATATGGCTACCATATTGGACAGCATAGATATAGAACATTTCCATTATCAGGAAATCTATCCATCAGACTGGATTAAAATCTTGCTTTTGTTCATTTTTTTTTGATTGTTTTTAAAGAGCATAGGGCCTATATTACCTTCAGAAAAGTACATGTCACTGCCACTATGCCCCATTGAAGGAGGGAAGTCAGAGAGCCTTGATTTTTAGTCAACTGCTACCACTCTAAAGTCAAGCACAGGAGAAAGGTAAGTGACGAAGCGGGAGAATGAGTAACAAGACAGCAAACTCATGCAGCTTGGAGATAGAGCCTGAGCTGGGATTCAGAAGTCTGCATTGTACTTCGAATTATGCTGATGATTCACTAAAAAACAAAAAAAAATGGTACTGTGAGTTGATTTAGTTGTATCTCTTCACTATTTGGGGCCTTGATTTCCTCCTCTACAACATAAATTTAAAATAAATGACTGCTAAGATTTCCTTTAGTTCTTTTGGAGATACACACACACATAGATAAGAGGGTGGGGGAATAAGAGTGAAAATAAGAGAGAGCAATATAATCATCATATTGGTGGTGGAAAACGGCAGTCCTGTCAGCTTGCCACAAGTTCTATTCCTGGGATGAGATCTGGATACCACCAAAGAAAGATGTAATTCCTATCTGTACCTCAAACACACACACACACACACACAGGTTGGCCTTAAGACCAAATATGTGGAAAGAGTGCAAAACTCTCCAAACTTTAGATTGAAAGACTGGTTCATTAACACGAATAACCAAGCTGACTCAGTAGTAAGATATATAGAAGTATCCTGAACTCTTCCTGAGAAGACAAAACAAATTACATAAAATCATATACAAAGTACAAGCCAACGATATAGTCAAAAGTATCCCCTCATTTCTTCCACAAAGAATATAAATAAATGTTACAGGTATTTGCCAATAGGAAAGCATCCATTTCGGCCAACCTAATTTCTCTAGAACCCACAATTAATTAGATGGTCCTACATTTTCTGGATTAAATATCTCTTGAGGGTTACTGGAATTACATAGCCCCTCAAACTGTGCTGGCAGAATAAAATGCAACTGGTACCAGTGCCTCCCTGCTACCTACTGCACACTTCGCTCTTTTCAGAGGCACTGTGGCCTAGGATCCAAAAAGAGAGAAAACCTTCCTAATTCCTAGTCTGAGGATCAAAAGGGCCAATATAAAAACTTTAAAGCGATTTTTTTGCTCTAGATAAAAAAGAAAAACTGTGTTGGATTTTTTTTTTTTTAGCTTGCATAAGCTAAGGCGACCAGTTAGGTGTGCAAGAATTCAAACTCTCCAGCCCCAAGGATATTTTGGAGCAGGGAGGTAGGAAAAAGTACTAAAAGGGAGAAGGGATTTTCGTGCCCAGCCTTTTCTTCACCAGCGCAGGCTTCGGTACCCCACCTCCTAAACCCAACGCCAAGGACCGCGCGGCGCGGAAGCCCTGCGGAATTTGAAAACAAACGTTGCGAGGCTCCGGGGGTGGGGGGGGGAACTGGCGAGGGGCTGGCTGGTAACTGACAGCTCGGGCCTCGGAGAGAGAAGCCTCAAGTAGGTCACACTGTGTCACCGGTGTGAAATCTAGAATCCAGCCCAGTGGGCGCAGGGGGGAGCAGGGCAGCAGGAAGATTAGCAGGGGCTTGGTATCGTTCAAGTCCTAAAGGGGTGGGACATGGGACCGAGTCCGCCCTGGAGCCCGAGCCTGACCAGTTCGCCTTGCTCTCACCTCTCTTGGGGGCCTTGATCAGAGGCACTCCTCCAGTCCTCTCGCCGTTTTCCTGCTTGTCCTTGTGCTTCAGATCGCCCGCAACGCAGGCGCTGGGGTCAGCATCCGAGCCGCGGTGGTGGTGGTGCTTGTGTCGCTCCTTGTGGCCCTTATGCTTGGGCCCGGACGCGCTCACCGTCAGGGGCGAGAAGGTGAAGAGGGCCGAGGTGCCTGGGGCCGGCAGCGGGGCGGCGACAGCGGGCCCCGCGGGTGCCAGCGACGGTGGCGGCGGAGGCGGCAGGAGCAAGGGCTCAACAGCGCCCGGGACCGAAGGGGCAGCATTCGTTGGCGGCAGCGGCCCGGGATGTTGGCGGCTGCGACGCCGCCGGTGAGGGGGAGCAAGAGGGGGGTCCTGGCTCGGCCGCCCCCGCTTCTCCTGAGACCCCCCACTGCTTGCTCGGCGCTGCCGCTTCACTCCCCGCGGCGAGACCCCAACATGGGGTTTCTCTTTCCCCTCTTTGTCCGGCTCCTCCTGCGCCGCCACCGCCCGTACTACGCGCACCGCTCCGACCTGCGCAGCCATTTCACCCACAAACACACATTTAAATGGCCCGACCGCCCCCCCGTCCGCGCATGGCGCAAGCGCCGACCGCGCACGGCCCGCTGGGCATTGGAGTCTCTCTCCCGTCCTCCATTTGTCCGCCGCTCGCCGCGCTGAGCTGAACATGCCGGAAGCGGCAGTTCCGGCGCCTCTCCGCAGGCCTCTCCAACCGAGCTTCTATTGTAAAGCGTCTTGGCCGCGCAAAGCCTTGTGGGAGCGGTAGTTCCGCCCCGCCCCCGCCGCGACTGCGACTCTGTGAGTGGAGGAGCCTAGAGGGAGCGTGCGTCGAGTCACGCTTCGGGCCGCGACGCAACCGCCGCCAGTCGACGAGTTGCCGCCAACCGCCTTAACGGCCCGAACAATGTTAATGGCTTTCCGAGCCTGGCGGCGCGTTTACGTTATCCGCTTCCTGTGCCCCCTCGTCATTCGAGGCGGAGTAGGTGGTCTCCATAGTGACTTTGAAATTTCCTATTTCTCGCATAAACATTTGTGAGGTAAAAGAATCTCCAGCCTTGACAAACGCTGGGGAAAAAGAGAAATTAGTAATATGGAAAGCGACGGCGGTTTTGCTGCACAATATAAGGGAGGTGCAAATGAGTAGTAGTTTTTTTTTTTTTTTTGGCAGCGTTTTCCGGGGCGTTACTATGGTTACAGTCACCCCCAAGGCAGGTGCAGGAACCGCCTGGGAGCGGGCTCGCCCTCGAGCCGCATCCCCGCTCTTGCCGGGAAAGGTAGAGTCCGGCATTTAATTAGAACATATCCAACGGTTAAAAAGTCCTAGCTAGAAAACCATGCGTAAAAATTTTAATGTTTTTTTTCAAATTATAAATACAAGGCATAAATTTGAAAAGCCTGTCTCTACCAGAAAAGGGTCCCCAAATCGTTACCATTGACCGTAGCTGCACAGAAACTCATTTAGAATTTGGTCACTTTGTCTTTTAACGAGGATTCTTTTCCTGCGCTTGGTCCTTGGTAAAGATTTTTGGAAATAACTGGTTACAGTGATGTACTTAGCATGAGTTGGCTGTGGCTTGATACCACGAGTTCCTGGAGAACTACTTCGGCTAAATGAACTCTACTGTAGTGAAGTTAGTTTGGAAAGAAAAGTTTGCTGTACGCCTGTTGGTTACACATTGTACTACAATAGATGGGGGACAATGTATCCTTCAGTTTACCCTAGCATCAGGCGTCCTAATGGAAGAGTAAACATCAAAGATGTTAATACTGTTTCTAAGTCAGCAATTTGTAAATAAAAAGGTATTTAAATCCTTAGGAAAAGTAAAATGAATGCTTCATAATAATAAGTGATCCACATGGCAGGGGGCGTGTCTCAAGCCTGGAGTGCTCGAGGCCCTGAGTTCAAACCCCAGTCCTGCCAAAAAAAAAAAAAAAAAAATACTAGTCCACTAACTTATTTTCTACATAAAATTAGGTTTGAAATATCAGATTTCCTTAAGGCATATCCGTATTCATGCAGAAATTTATTTTAAACTAGCAGTCCTCTGATTATTTGGATAGAAATTGCACATGTTTATGTGGGACCTTTTAAATAAATAATAAAATATTACCTTATAGCTATTTCATTATTTTTCCTGGAATTGGTAATTGGTTAAGACTATCTGAAATGTAGTAGAACATCTTATTAGTTGAGGTACCTACTTAGAAAATGATTGCTATCATTATTTGCACATTTTATTTTCTTAACTATCACTTACTTTCTCATTGCCCCGGTTTCCTGCAACATTCAGGAAGATCTGTGAGTTGTACTTCATTCAGGAAAAAATAACTCCCAGAGAATAGTTATTGTCACAAGCAGTAATTTTGTACAGCAGCCACAAAGTAAGATTTTTTTTAAGTTTTATACTCTTATTATAGCAATGTAGAAATTTAATTGAGGTCCAATTCGTACAAACATTTTAAAATTTACAATTATGCTTGGCATGATGGTATATACCTGTAATCTCAGCCCTCTGGAGGTGAGGCAAAAGGAGCACTTGAGCCCAGGGGTTTGAGACCAGTCTGGGCAACAAAGCAAGGCCCCATCTCAAAAATAAATTTAAAAAGTAGAAAGTAAAGTAAAATAACTTTCAAAAATAAAAGTGTTTTCTTTGTAGCATTATTTATATAAACTCAAGAGACAAGTTTTTATTGACAATTTCTAACCCAATGCAAATAATATGAAAATACAAAATTACTGGCACTTTTTTCACCTTTTGCTTTTCTTCTAAAAGATATTAACACATCAGCATATCTTCATTACTGGTATTATGAGTATAAAGCACTTATTTTAACTAGCAACATTCTGACACTTTTATTTACAAATGCACTTGCAGTCTATATTCTTGTTAAATCCAGAGTTGTATTAAATATTCCAAGTTGGTGGTGGGTTCCTTGGTCCTTTTGGTTTTGAAAAACGATTTCCAAAACCTGGGAACAAAAATGAAAAGAGAGATTTCTTAATATAGAAATGGATTCTTGGCTTTTAGAGTATAATATATGCAAATACATGGATTATTTTTAAAAGGTTAGGCAGCATCTTTAATCAGTTTAGTAATAAGATAAAAAGGCATTATAGTAATTAAAACTTAAATGAAAACAATACAATACTTTTTTTTTTTTTGCAATGCTGAGGATTGAACCCAAGGCCTCCTGCACGCTAGGCAAGTGCTCTACCACTGAGCCACACCCCCAAACCACGTAATAGTATTTTAGATTTGTAGAGAATTTATAGATTTAATAATGACAATAATTGGATGAAAACCCCTAGATATAATAGCCTTTGATAACTCAGTACAGAATATCACTTATCTACCTTCATTCACTCTTTACAAAACTGACACATTTTAATTTCACAAACTAAGTATTATTGCTTTAGTATTATTGTATTAAATCTATCTATACCTTGGAGTTACTAAGAGATTATGTTAGTAAAAAAATTTTTTAACCAATTCTTAAAAATTTAAATAGTTTAATAACCATTTTTATCCTTCCTCAAACTCTACTTCCCCATCTCTCATAAAGGAGAGGATGAGAAAATTTTTCACAAATAATGCAAGCTATTTCTGGATGCTTTCAAAAGATTTGCAGATTGATGACATTAATTCTTTTATCACTTCAACAATATATGCTTTCCTTTGATTGGGGTATATTTTCAGGGATCTTACACTTCAGGACCTTAAATTGAGAAACAAAAGGTTTGAAATACAGAGGGAGAACAGAGTGTGGAAATCTCAGTGATATTCCTAAAATTTTAGTTTTATTATCTTAACCTACTCAAGTGTTACCTAAGGCTAGTTCATGTACATTTTATTCCTCTGAGCAATAATAAAGAAGTTGGAAAGAAAAACATTTTGAGTTAGGTAGTTGCCCACCACAGTCAAATCATCTCATCAGTACAGATATCTTGATTGCAATCCATGTGAACTGGGCACAGAAGTAAGAACATGTTACATGACTACGTGAAGTATCTAAAATTTGAGGAATACATTCTGTCTCTTTCACTGGTCAGTTGTCGGTAGTTTAGAATAGTAGAGAACTACTTTTTTTTTTTTTATGAGTCAACTCAGAGAAAATAAATCTGAATCACGATTTTTGTCTTTCAAATTTAAGTGTTTTGAGTAGCATCCTTACAATATATATTCCCTTATAAAAGGGAACAGTGAAAAAATATTTTCAAGTAGGTAAACTGCTCAAATCTAGGAATATTTGAGAAGTAGCAACATAGAGGCAGCCTCTAATATTTTATCCTCAGGCCACAGGCTGTTGTAATTACGTGGACCATGAGTTATTCAAGTGGTATCAGTTTAGAGAAATGAAGAACACAGGAAACATGTGTCCCCAGCAAACTTTGGAGCTTTTTTCATAGTTTGTTCAATATTCTATATGAGTGTTTTTAACTAAATAATTCCATGTAAACCCTAATTTTTTAATTATAATGCATAAAACTTTAGTGTTGATGAAATCCAAACAAAGTTTCATGGCTAAAGAAACAGACCCAGAGATTCTGGTTACACATTTTTCCAAAGGGAGATAAGGAGTGTAACATAGGTATGGCAGAAATTGCTGCCTCTTGCAGCATCTTTGCTTCTTCCTCAGAAATAAAATTATATTTGAGCAACTGCATATGTCTGCCCAGCAATATTACAATTTAGTTATATCTAAGTTTTCTTCCAGGGAATGTGAGCTGATGATATTGCCACATCCAGCCAAATGCCTTAAAGCCAGAAGACGGGAAAAGGAAGCCACACCTCCTCCCTATCTTCCCTTTTCTGGATGTTGGAGCAACCTAATTTTGACCATACAGATAAGGACAATACCTCAAAATGTGGTCCCGGAATTCCTGGGGTCTCCCATATCCTTTCAGGTGTCTACTTTTTGGTAATAGCAAATTTGTAGTAATAATATCCTACATTTGAATTGCTATACCTCTTATAAAAATTATACATGACATTACTTTAAGTCTATCATAAATATGTCATATGGAATAATACAGTGCTTAAAGTAACATGAAGTTATTTTAAGTTTATAGGTTATACTTGGATAAGCAGTTCCTTTAAACTGTAAATAACTGCTTCAGACTAGAGGCATGGCTCAAGTGGTAGAGCACCTACTTTGCAAGCATGACACCTCTGAGTTCAAACCCCAGTCCTACCAAAAAAAAACTGCTTCATCTACTGTTGTATGAGTTATATAAGATTAAGATTAAACAGCAGTAACTGTTGTTTTTATCACACTTTTATATTTTTATATATTTGCTTTAGATATGAACAGAAATATCACAGCATCTCAATTTCTTCATTTGGCTAGTCATATTCATTAACTACATTCCAGCATAATATTGTGGTTTCCTAGCTATATTTTCCACATCTTTCAGATAATTCAGTCCTATTTGAGATGCTAAGAGGTAGCTGAGATTAAAAAAGATAACTTGCATGGAAAAAATATAAAAATAATAACCTATATATGAAACCTTAAATCATACTTAAAGTTATATTTCTTACACTATATGTGAATAATTTGCATAATTTTTTAACTCTGCTGTAAAGTAAATCACATACCAAAATTCAGAAAGGAGCTAGAGTTTTTTGACTGAACAGATTCTTCAGGTTTGTTTGGTGGTGAAGAATTACAGATACCTATAATCAAAAAAAAAAAAAAAGATGAAAGGGAAAGAATGAATACAGAATCGGATTACTGTTTATCAAATTGCATAATTATTGAGATTAAACATTTCCTCCAGAGTAATTGGTACTCCCAAGTAAATACATCAGTATCAAATGTTAAAATATAAGTGTTTGCAAACAGGTTGACACTGAATTCATGTGTATGTGTGTTTATTCAATGGCTTCTTCACAAACTTTTTGTTTGGTGGGCCTGGGGTCTGAATTTAGGGCTTCGCACTTGCAAAGCAGGCACTTTACCACTTGAGCCACACCTCTAGTCCATTTACTTGTAAACAGATTACATGGTAAAATCCAACACTAAAGAAAATTGCCAAAGGAATAAATGCTATGTCATGAATCAACTTTGGCTGGATTCACATTTTGGCTTTGCACTTCATCTTACTTTTGTTCTGGCCAGTCTTAATACACTTCTAAATCTCCACATTAACTCATCTATGGCAAATCTGATTTTTCTTACATTATCCTCTACTCCTGGAATCTCCTTCACTTCACTTTCCAGCCACTTTTTTCCCCATTATAGATTATTCTAATTTAGGTCCATAGTCTCCCCAAAGTATTGTTATGCTTATTCATTTGCTAGTTTACTTATTTGCATGTTGTCTTTAAAATATATTTGCCTTCCACACCCTTAATATATGCATGTATCAGCTTCTGCCCAGTTTTGAAAAGAATCAATGAAACTTGGTCCACATTTTGCATGTGTACTGTTGTGCAATGAAAAAAAAAGGTACGTTTGTATAAACTTTCTGACAAACAGCATATAAGTGAGGAACAATAATTAAATATTCTCTTTTTTTTGTACACAGTCTAAGAATACAGTGTTTGTGTGTGTTTGTACATTCACACCTAATATTAGGATTCTAGAAACATCTTTTCCTTCTGGGAAGTACTTGAGTATGAGTCATTAGAATACATAGTAGATTCCAATCATATGCAACTAAACATATTTATTGAATACCTACTGTGTTCTAAGCTAGGCACTGAGGATAGACATGAATACAACATAGATGAAGATGAAGAAGTTCAGGAGATATCAATTATCTCTATACTACATGTAAGTTGAGAGTTGTATACATTCCTCAGAAAGAAAATAGTTGTCCCAAAGGAGCATATTCTATTTTTTTTTTACAAAGGAGGCAAAGATTCTGCACATGTACATTAGTGGGAACTGCTATTTTGCATATTGGCTGGTCTTAGCTGTTTTTAGGCTGCCTGCCCAATGTGGATTCCCTCTTCTCCTGATAATGAACTTGAATTTTCCTTTCACAATTTTCATTCTCCACACTTCTAGTGGAACCGATTCTACCATTAGCAATGAAATGACCAATAACTGAGGCTGATTTTCATCATTTCATTCATGGTACATTGGCATGGTCATACCAGATGTGTAGGTCTGACCTCATTCCTGATTACTCAATGTCCACATGTAACTAGTTAAATATTAGCCATGACACTATCCTACCTAATCAGAACATTGAATATACTATTAGGAATTGGCTCAGGGATGGGCAAATGAACCAAACTAACACAATCAGACCCAATTAGCACTAGTCATCAGACTAGTGCTTAAGCAACTAAGAAAGAGCTATTTTTTTTCATCATAAGCTTGAAACCACATGGTAAAAAAAAATTTGCCTATCAGTAAGCTAATGCAATGAAACAAAGCTGAAAGATAGGGAATTAATATATCCTGATTATGTAATTCAAACCCCTGATTATAAGCCAATAAATTCCTCTTCTGTTGAGCTTAAATTAGCCTATGTTGGGTTTTCTGTCACTTGCAGCTGAAGTCCCTTTTTATTTTATTTATTTATTTTTTGGCAGTACTGGGGTATTGAACTCGGGGCTTCATGCTTGCCAGGCAGGCACTGTACTACTTGAGCCACTCTTGCCACTTTTTGCATTGGTTATTTTTGAGAAAGAGTCTCACTTTATGCCCATGCCAGCCTGAAGGCTATTTGTGCTTCCCTGCATAGCTGGATGACAAGTTTGTGCCATTGGTTGAGATGGAGTCTTGTAAACATTTTGCCTGGGCTGTCCTGGAACCATGATCCTCCCAGTCTCCACCTCCTGGATAACTAGGATTACAAACATGAGTCACTGCACCCAACCAGCAACTGAAGTATTTCTGAGCAATTAGAATTTCCCATCAAAAGTTGGCATCAGGCATCATGGTTGACAGTTTCTACCCTTGTCACCCATAATTCAGTGTCCATACTGCAGCTAGTGTAACCTCTCTGCCTAAAACCCTTTTATGACTTCTCATTGCACTTAGAATAAACTCTACTTAATATGATCCATAAGAATGTAGCTACTCCTCCCCTATCTTTCCCTCATTCCAGCCTAACTTTACTTCTCTCTTCTTTTTACTTACTATTCTGCAGTAATGATTTCTTTCTTTGAGTTCCTACAACAAACAAAACTCACACCTTACGAGATTTTTTATATGTTGCCCCTTCTATCTTGTGTCATCTCCCCATTTTTTGCCTGGATGGCTGGCTGCTCTTTCATGTCTTAGGCTCAGAGATCACTTCCTTAGAAAGGACTTTCCTGGACTACCTATCTGAAATTGGATCCCCTTTTGCTCTCCCTTGTAATTACTCTTTTGTTTTCCTTAATAGCATTCATTGTAATGTTTTATTATGTTTTGTATTTATGGATTTACTTCTTTAATCCCTCGTTAAGTTCCATAGTCCCTCACTAGACTTTAAGTTCCACAAAAGCCTAAGAGCTGATATCTGTTCTGTTTACCATGATATACCAAGTGCCTTGTATAGTGTCTGGCACACAGTATCCATCTCAACAAGATACTAGTTTAAAATTACATAAAAATGCTAACTTCATTAAAAGTTTAACTACAGTCAGTAAGAGATCAGATGGAGAGAAAGCATATGGAATTTGGAAGTCATGAGCCATCTAGAAGTGACAGAGGATACATACAAATATAGATGGATAAGTTGAAAGTTTGAGAATCAGTTTGGAAGGCTAGATAGTGTTCTTCACTTAAGGGCAAAAGATCATAGGATCAAAATAGCTGAAAATGGAAATACAACCTAGCCTAGATCCAGAGAATGACCTTGGAGGTCTTTCTAAGAAATAAGACTCAGTCTCTGAGAGTCCCTCCATATCACAAAGCTGTGTCAATATTAATCTACCTGAAGTATACATTTCTTTCTTTGATATCCTCAGACATCATTGGATCAAGAGAAAGAAAATTGGGCATTTCATAAACCAAACTGATCAAATCAATTTTTGGTTGACTATATTTCATTCAAGTCATTCATTTCTTTGGGTTTGTCTGTGTAATATTACCTATTTCCTACCACAGTTCTCTTTTGAAATATTTAAATTCTCTTTTGAATAACTTTAAGGAAAAAGGTATATTTTCCAACCATACTTTAGCCATCATGGGTAAGAAATCAGTTCATTTCAGCAGTCAGGTATAATGGTAATGATAGCAAACTATCAAGAATCTGGAGTTTATTGATGGGCAAATACAGAAGAATAAAGTAATACTCTACTATAATCCATGCTTAAACTATACTTTAAAGTTTTATCAGTGCTCTTTAGTCCCTCCCTATAGAGCCAGTATAATAACAACTGCTTAGTCCTTCATGATTAACCAAATAGATCAAATTTATAAAAGCCCTATCACCTTGTTTTATACACTTTGTATTTGTAAATAAGGATGTCTAAAATAATTTCCAAAAGTTTCAAGGGTCTGTGGGTTTTAGAAAAAAAACAGTTTGGGTTTTTATTTTCATTACAATATAACAAAATAGCAACAGACTTCTGCTAATAATGCTTGGAAAAAATGGAAATTTGTCAATGTTTCACTTATTTCATTAAATCAACACATTTGTTTTATAATTTGCATTGTTGTGATCATTTTCAAAGGAAATCCATAAGGTTAGATTGCTGGGAATTTTAAAAAATATACTTGTATGATGGCACCCTTGTATGGGTAGAAAGTACCAAACATTATACGAATTATTATTCTGTCTATAAACAAAACTTTCCATACCCTACTCCCTGCCCAGTGTTAGCATTGTGAAGCCCAGTAAAGTACAAGGGCTAGGGGTGATTGTACTGATCCATAGGACCTAATGGACACTTTGTTGGGAATGATATTGTTAATTTTTTCATGGGGTGGCTATATAAAGAAAAATAACATAACTGTAAAAGTGATATATGTATAATCTTAATAAGTACAAAGAAACTTACTCTTTTTCATGTTTCGCAAGATTTTCAAACTCTATGAAAGTGCAGAAGGGGAAAAAGTTAGGATATATCCTGTAAAATTAAAAATGCTTTATCCTATTAGCAATATAAACTTTAAGAGGATTAGTTTCCTTAAAATCAGCCATGGAAATGCAGTTCTTTTTCTATCTTGCCATTTTTAATTCAGTGCAAAATCTCCACATGATTCTCTCTTACTATTTTTACGCCAATATAAGTATCATAGTACATACTTAGAAATAATCAGAACTATCAGAATGTCAGGCACAAAAATGAAATTCCCACTTCTCTCCTTTACTAAAGCCACTCCAGAACCACGTTGGCTTCTGCATATGACTGTGATACACAGCCATTCCCATTCTAGCTATGAATTTGCCAATCATATTCTGTACTTATACCAAGACCCATTTCCATATTAGCCATGCCACTTCCTTCTCCTGCCTTTCAACAAGCCCATGTCCTGGGCCTCCTTTATGGTGGCATCTCTACCTTATCTCTTCCAGGCAGGAACCTACCCAGATTTCTTCTTTCCTCCACATTTCCTCAGCATGTTTTTAATCTGCTCCAGTGTTATTTTATTATTTTTAATAATTTTCAAATATATGTCATAGAGGTGTTCTGCTCCAAAAGATTAACCATTCTCTTGTTTCAAAAGCAAATAGATGTCTTTTATGTCCTATTTATTTTCCTAACACCTAACAAATAAAATCTTTCATATAATAGATATTTATGAAATTCTTTTTTGTAAAATGTTTAGATTTTTAGAAAATTTATTTACAAACAATCCTAGTAAAAATGTTCCCGTCCTTGTTCTCCACCTTCCCTGTTTCTAACCCTCCTCTGTAGATAACCACTGTGAATTTCTTATGTATCCTTCAGAGTTACTTAAGAATATATAAGTAAATACACATATAGGATCACATTTTCTCTTTTAAGCAAAAGTTAATAAGTTATATATAAATACATTGAGAGAGTCTTCATTCTTTTTTAGTTGCATAGAATTCTATATGGATATACTATAATTTACGATTTATTTAAGTCAGCTCCATTAATGATTAACATTCCTGTTGTTTCCAGTTATCTGCTCTTATAAGCAATGTTGTAATGAGTACCTGGTATAATTCTAACTTTATGTTTGTGCCAGCATATGTGTAGAATAAATTCCTAGAAGTGAAATTGTTAGGACAAAGAATATATCCTTTATATATGCATTTGTAATTTCAATATTTCTAAATTGCCCTCCACAGAAGTTGTACCACCTACAAAACCTGCTTATGCTCATTTCCCAGTAGCATCCCTAACAGAGAGTGGAATAAAACTTTTGGAAATTCTCATTCTGACAGATGAAAAATAATGTCACTGTGGTTTTGTGTTTCTCTTATTATGAATGGGTTTGAGCATATAAAAAATTTTTTTGAGTGTGGGACTGGGGTTTGAACTCAGGGCTTTGCATTTGCAAAGCTGGTGCTCTACCACTTGAGACACACCTCCAGTCCATTTTGCTCTGGCTGTTTTGGAGATAGGGATGTCAAGAACTATTTACCCAGGCTGGACTTAAACTGTGATCCTCCCTATCTCAGCCTCCCAAGTAGCTAGGATTATAGGCATGAGCCACCAGCACCCAGCTTGTATCAAATGTTTAAAGGATGGACAATGCTCATCTTCTTTGTACTGTCTGGTCATGTATTTTGCCCATTTTTATATTGGGTTTACTTTCTATAAATTTCTAGCAGCTCTTTACATGTTAGGCAATATCCTTATGACTATGATACCAGTTGCAGGTATTTTTTTTCTCCAATTTGTCCTTTGTCTTTCATTTTCTAAGGCATTATTTTTTTTTTACCATGCAGAAATTTTCTATTTTATTTAGTTGAATGCATATATCTTTTTTTTTCTTACAGTTCCTGGACTGTTTTCATAGTTATAAGGGTCATTCATACTCCAGGGATATAAAGGAATCTAAGGTGTTTTTTTGGGGGGGGTTGTATTTCTAAGTTCAGGTTCTTAGGGGTTTTAACATTTAAAACTTTTAGCCATCTTGAATTAATCCTAGTGTAGATGTGAGTTATAGATCCTGCTCTTTTTCCTAGGTGAATAGTTCTCTATTTACTCCAACAATTACTAAACCACCCATCTTTATCCTGTGATTTGAGGCATACCTTCATCATATACTAAATTTCTATATACATTTGGACCTATTTCTGGACTTTCCCTTCTGCTCTGTTGGTATGTATTTCTTTTCATATACAAATACTATACCATTTGAATTATTGAGTCTTTACAATGTTTTAATACCTGTTAAGGCTACCCTTATTCATTGCATTTATTTATTTACTTATTTCTCTGATTGTTGATTTGCAGTCTTTGGGCTACTCCCCACTCCCCCATATAAACTTTAGAATAAATTCATCTAGTTCTAGGAGTAAATAAGTTGGTAGTTTTATTGGGCATCTTTTTAAATTTATAAATCAGCCTTGAGGGGAAATTAATTAATTCTTAATGTAGTAGTCTTTCTTCTTTTTGGTTCTTTTTAATAATTTTGATTATTGTTTTAGTGAAGATATTTAATCTAATTTTCAAGCTTGAAAATTCCTTGTTGTGGAGGGAAAACCCTCAGCAAGAAAAACTGACATGCTTTCTAAGTCTCTGATCTTTTTTACCTTACTCCTTGTGAAACTTTTTCCAGGAGTCTTCAATGTTTGTTTTGGAGATGTTGAGTTTTCCACGTTTTCAGGACAGCTAGTAGAATAAGTTCCTGTAGATTGTGCCTGTATGTCTAGAAAAAAAGTGTTTTGTTGCATAATTTTTTAAACCTTAGAATTAAATATACATTATATATTCAGTAACTCTTAGCCTGGATTTGTTAGGCCATGTTTTTATTACATATTGTGTGCTTTCAAAATGTACTTTTTTTATCATTCATTGTACCTTTCCCATGTAGGTCTTATATTATTGTTGATCTTTTAACATTCTTATTTTTATAACTCTTTTGGAGAGAAAGTATTGTCACTTACACTCTTCATCAGCAAGAAGGAAGGACTCTGGAGTTCTCTCTGGGAGTGGAGGTGGGGGGCAAGAACAATCTTGATGTAGATCTGTAATAAGAAAAGAAACCAAAGAAATCCATCAAATAAAAGTCAAGACATGTTTTGGATTTGTATAATTTTTACAGTTAGTCCATCTTAACCTGCAACCACAAGTAAAAAATTATCTGAACAATGACAAGAACTTTGAACTTCTGCCTTTTTAGTCAGTGAGCCTATGATTCATGAAAACTTACAGATCACGTACAAAAATACATGTTATTTGCCAGAAATTGGAACAGAATCTTATCAGCCATACTATTTGACAAAAAAATCTTGGGGATAGAGGAACATTAAATAAAACCATGAGAATATAATTGATCAAATCTAGAATGTTAAGCAGTCTTCAGGACAAATGATGGACTCTCTTCAATAAATATATAGCATGAGGAAATATAAAAAGGAAGAACTGTTACAGATTTTAAAAAGACTGAGGAAACTTATAAACCAAATACAAAGTATAGATTTTGTTTGAATCCAAATTCAAACCAACTATAAAAAGATATTTTTGAGACAACTGGAGAAATTTTAACACAGTCCAGATAGTAGATAATATTAAGGTTTAGTACTATTATGGTAGGTTTGAAATATGTGTTTGAAATTTTCTATAATAAAGATTTTTAGGCCTGGGGCCATGGCTCAAGTGGTAGAGTACTTGCCTCACAAGTGTCAGGCTCTGAGTTCAAACCCTGGCACCACCAAAAAAAAAGAAAGAAAGAATTTTAAATAAAATAGGGGTTCCTATGGTGTGAACCCCTAAAGAAATGGTGTTCTAAAAACATCAGAATTATATATTAACACCTTTTGAAAATAAAAATGCAGTTAAGTTTCACCTGTTACAGGTCACTGGGTTATTGTAGGTCTTAGAATTTGTCTATGAAGCAGGTTTTCTTGTTTACTTCTTAAATGCTGGGTAACATATAGAAGTACAATGCTTATTTTCAATGCCTAATATACTAATTGGCACATAACAAGTATTTAGCAAATATTTGATAAATCCTTTGAAGTAGTTTATCATCTTCCAATTTGCTGTTAGCAAAGTATTTTGAAAAGCAAAGCTGACAATTAACAATATCCCAGCAGATATTTTCCTAAAACACTGTATCATCTTAATACTCCCCTGATGAATCTACGATGTCTATTATTCGCTGTATTAAATCTAAATTCCTCTGACTAGCTTTTTGTTTATGGTAAAATACATGTAAGATTCACCATTGGTGACAGTTGTTTCACAGCATTGTGCAACAATATTGTCACTAATTCTGGAACATTTTTCATCACCCTGAAAGGAAACTCTGCACCCCTTAAGTAATTCTTCCCTATTTGCTCTTTCTCCCAGCTCCTGGAAACCACTGCTTTCTGTCATTAGGGATTTGTATATTCTGGATATTTCATCTGACTAGCTTTAAGTTGTTTCAGAATCTTGCCACATCATCCACTCAAATTTACTCTCTGTATTTCACAAACCAGAATCTCTACTGTAATAAAAAATAACATACTCATGGGTAGAACACTTGACTAGCATGAAAGCCCTGGGTTCCATCCCCAGCACTGCAAAATAAATACCCTACTCACGATTTCTCTGCCCACATCATGCTCATTTCTACCATATATAGTCTTCTTTCTCCTGAGAAATGTATATTAAGGTCTGTTGCCATTTTAAAACCAGGTTATTGGTTTTTGCAATTGAATTTTTTGAGTTCTGGTTAATATCTACAATATCCTGTTCAGAAAGGATCTTTTAAAATTGAGTAGCTTTGTCAGATGTACAATTTGAATATTTCCTCCCAATTCTATAGGTTGCCTCTTCACTCTGGTGATTGTTTCCTCTGCTGGTCAGGACTGTTTCATTTGATGGAATCCCATTTATCTATTTCCCTGTGTTTTTAGAGTCTTGTTGGAAAAATCATTGCCTGTTCCTGTGACCTGTGGCATTTCCCCTATGTTTCTGCTAGTAGTTTCATAGTTTCTAGTCTTACATTAAAGCCTTTAATTCATTTTGAATTGATTTTTACAATTGCATATGGATACCCAGTTTTCCTAGCACAATTTATTAGAAATACCATCCTTTTCCCCATGCATGTATAGCACTTTTGATGAAAATTAGTTGGCTGTGGATGCATGGGTTTACTTCTCAGATCTCTGTTCTGTTCCTTTCATCTACATGTCTTGTCTTTATGCCAATACCATGCCATTTTGATTACTACAGCTTTGTGGTATATTTTGAAGTCAGGCAGTATGATACCTTCTGCTTTGTTCTTTTTACTCAAGATTGTTTTGACTCATGCCAGGCACCAGTAGCTCATGCCTTGGGAGACTGACACCAGGAGGATCAAGTTTGAGACTAGCCTAGGCAAATAGTTCATGAAACTCCCAGCTCCAAAATAACACAGCAAAGTGGACTGGAGGTATAGGTCAAGTGGCAGAGTGACTGCAAGTATGAAGCCTTGAGTTCAAACTCCAGTCCAGCCAGGAAAAAAAAAAGAGAGATTGCTTTGACTATTCAATATTAAAAGATCCTGTCTGAAATAACTTTTAAAGGACTGTATTCCAAGGAACAGAATTCTAAAATCCTGCCTTTACTTTGCTCATAACAAAACAAAATTCGTAATCTGGGAAAACCATAAATAAATCAATACATAGCAGAACTATTATGAGAACCGTGAGACCTTTTGAGGTGAAATACTCTAAACTTAATAAACTGTTCTTAACAGTACAGATTCTTAGAGCTAAATGTCATTTATCTAAAGCTAAAAGAGCTCTTACTGCTTGGAGTGGCTCAAGAAGTTAAAAAAAAAAAACAAAAATACTTAAAGCCAAGAGAAATTTTTACCTGATTTGGTAGTCCGGAGTTTTACACTCTAAAAGATAAAAAGAAAGAAAAAATGAAAGTATGTGCATATACGTTATACAAACTCAAAGCAACAAATAGCATTTAAAAAAATATTTCATATCACTATAGTTATTTCTTAATAATTATGCCGAATTATGAAAAGGCATCCTTAATTCTTACAGTGATTTTGATAGATTTTAATATCACATGCAGTCAGTCCTAAATTGATCTTCTTCTGACTTTCCCAATTAGAACATTTCCCTGAAAATTTACTTGGCGGTAAGTTATTGAAGTTGTAGTTACTTAGGTCTGGGGACATGGCTCGAGTGGTGGTGGTAGAGTGCCTGACCAACAAGCCCAAGGCCCTGAGTTCAAACATCAGTACCACCAAAAATATAAAAAAACAAAGAAAAAGAAGTTGTAATCACTTCATGACATTAGAAAAGGGGTCATTGTTCTTTACTTGAGAGTTAGGATGAAGACTTACAAGTGTGCATATTATTAACAATAATAATAACAATTACTAGTACATTAAAGTTATAATTTAAAAGATGGAGAATATTTCCTATGGGTATTTAAATTGTAGGAAATGTTTTGTTTTGCATTTTTATTATATTATTGGTGAACCAGGAGTATTTTGTGACATTTATACAAGTTCTTACAATACATCATAGTTGAATTTACCCCTCCATCATCCTCTTTTATCCCCCTTCCCATTCCTGGAACAGTTTCAACAGGTCTCATTTTTCCATTTTCATACATGAGTACACAATATTTCCACCACATTCACTTCCCACACCCTTTCCTTACATCCTCCCCCTCCCACTGGTGCCAACCCCCAGACAGGACCTGTTTTGCCTTCCTGTTCTCCATTGTGAAAAAAAGGCATTTTGTTTGTTTAAGATATCTCTACAGGGATTTTCCTTATGACAGTTCCATGTATATATGTATTATAACTTGAATTGGTTCATGCCCTTTATCTTTCTCTTTTCTGCCTTAGTCCCCTTCTTATGGTGATTTCAACAGGTTAAAAATTCTGTATTCATTCTTGTATCATGGTCTTTTGTGTACAGGAACTTTTAAATGTTTGTTTAGTTAATTACTTTTCTGATCTCTGAAATTTAAAAATTATTGGTTCAAAGAATATGTAGAAACGCAAAACTGATTTTAATAATGTAATTTTTCTTCCAGAATCAGGAAATAGTATTCCAAAAGATTTATCTTAAATGATATGCACGTGTCATTAAAAATTGCTCTCTCCAATACTTAATCACAACTAACATGATATAGCCTATGAAATGACTGCAGCAAACAAACTACCTACTTATTTATTTTGGGTTTGAACTCAGGACCTCATGCTTGCTAGGCAGACAGTCTACCACTTAAATCACACCACTAGCCCTATGAAACATTTATTTGTGCCTTAACTATCCTTCAAGAAACTAAATCACTAAATCTAAATCACTAAATCTCCTTGATCACTTCCAACCTGAAGGGATCTCCCATACTTTGAATCTATATAACATGGATCACATTTGCCTTGTTTCAATAAATACAAATAAAATAAAGATTTGTATATATATCCTACGTCTTAACTATTAGGGTTTTTGTTTTGTTTTGTTTTCTTTGTTTTGTTGTTAATGGTTTTTCTTTTTTGATGCTGGGGATAGAATCTAGGGCCACATAAATGCTAGGCAAGCACTACACTGAGCTATGTCCCAGCCCTCAACTGTAAGTTTCTTCAGGGCAAGAATTGTATCTTATTCACCTTTATTATCCCCTGCATCCTCTATCATGTTGTTTTATATTTAGTACTTATTTAATAGTTATTGAATTGAAGGGTATCTAAGCGCACTGAATAAAACTATAGTCTGTTGAATTCAAATGAGTAGAGTCAGAAAAAAGTTACTGACCTTGCTTGGCCTAAGTGTCACAGAGTCATCAAATTTCGTTGATTCAGATATTCCATTCCATTCCAGTGATGTTCCAATTTTTACCTTCACAGCTGAAGGTAAGGATTTGGGAATACTTGGTGGGAATTCTCCTGGAAGAAAGTGATATGACCCAATTCATAGGAGTGAAGTTAATAAATATGTTGGTCATTAATAAGACACAGAACGTTGAAGAGTAACACACACACTTTATACTTACTGAACTATACTCACCAGCTTCCTCAACCACAATAAAAGACTCAGGAGTCCGTTCAGGAAGTGGAGGGGGGATTTCATCATCTATCCTTGGAGAAGTTGCTAGCACAGTGTCAGAAATACAATTTTTAGTTAGAACAATCCAATGGAGATTCCTATATTCTAATCTAATCCTAAATATAAATTTAAATAACATATACTTAAATTCCATTTAAGCACCATTAACAATAGTGTGCCTGGAACTTGTTTACTCAGGAAAAAAGAACAAAATTTGACTGTACATACAAACCTAGCAGGTTTTTATTTAATCTTCAAAATGTATCATTTATTTTAAATGCCCGAAAGCATTTCAATTGACTTACTATTTTTTGCTTTGGATTATTTTCTACATAACTCTTTCCTTTTGTTTTACATAGACTATATATAAGGCACTTTGACCTACAGTTACACAGTAGGTAAAAATCAAAGGTTTTATTTTCCCCCCCTTTTTTTTTTCTTTGTGGTGGGACTGGGGTTTGAACTCAGGACTTTATACTTGCAAAGCAGGCACTCTACCACTTGAGCCACACCTCCAGCCCCTACTCTCCATTCTTCATTACAGACAGAATCCAATAATATGGGTTTTTCTTCATTCCACACAGAATCCAGTAATAGAATTTTTTCCTTTTTTACAAAACAGTAGAATAACATGGTATTCTATCTTTCAATAAAAACAGAATTTGTATAAAAATGCAAATGCTATTGCAAGAAACTGCCACCAGATGGCACACATGTCAATATTGTTACAATCCATGAAAGTAAGGGTTTTAAAAAGTGATGTTGATGCTCTAAGTAAGAAGTCTAAGGTATTACGGTTGACTAGAAAAAGAAAATACCTTTAAGTTGTAAATTAAGATCAAAGTTTATAAAATATTGTAATCAAAGAAGAAACTTAAGAGATCCCAATAAATTATTTTTGCAACAAAGCTACAAATGATCTACACATCTATTAGGAAACTCTGACATGGGTTGAGGATATAAGTCAGTGGTAGAACACTTGCCTAGCATGTGCAAGGCCCTGGGTTCCATCCCCAGCACCACAAAAAAGGGCTTAAAAGAAACTATAATAACCAATGTTATACAGCAAAACTTTTCTCTACTTCCTGTCTAAGTAAAATGCTCTGTATAAATTATCTGATTATATGCCTAAGAAAAACTTGCTCTTTCCCTCATTTTCTTCCATCTGGGCTGGGGGGGTATAGGTCAAGGTAGAATGTATGAGGTGCTGGGTTCAAAATGACAAATATATATATACATATACTTATGTGTATGTATATATATTCACTTATACTTTTTAGACTACTCAGTAGGCAATAATATATGCACAATATGCAATATTCCAGAATTAGAAGAGGTAAAAAGTCCACACAAAATACCGAACAGAAATTCTCATCTAGTAAGTTACTACAAGAAGGCAGGAAGTCAGGTCCTACCCTTCCAACTCCTGCTGGAAGAGAATTCAGTGAATTCAAGAGAATTCCTGCTGGAAGAGAATTTAGCATATGTTCAACTCATTATAACCACATGATTGAGCAACAAAAATTTTAGGTGACCATACAGCACTGTTCAGATTTTTCTTTTCTGCTCTTCTCTGGAAGCTGCTTCTGTATTTTGAGGGTAAATTGTGGGCCTTTGATAAACATTTTTTGGAAGAGGATTGGCCTCTTTAGAATCCTTCCTGTTAACACAGATTCTGTACCACATCTGACTGCCTCCACTGCTACCTGTTTCATGGAATGTTACATGTTTAGTGTTGCTATTTTCAACTCACCACACATTAAAACACCCTGAAATTTATTTCTTTGAGGAAGAGAAGAAAAAGAGAGGAAAGCAAAGAAGGAGGAGGGGTAAAGTAAAAAGAAACCAAATATTCTATAGAAACAAAGTGAAATCTAAAATGCCATACAAACTAAAAAACAACTTACCTACTATGTCTGTCTCTTGGTTCAGTGGCAGGGAAACACTGGTCAAAGGATTCAGTGTTAAAGAATCATGTGAATTGCAGTAAGAAAAGAGGGTGGTGGAGGACGCTGGCAACAAAGAACCAGGGAAAACAGTTCCATCTTGCCTCTCAGGGAAATCAAGAGACATCTTAGAATCAGCACTACTTGGAGGCGATGATGAAAAATAAGGATCTTCTACTAAAGACATGCAAGAATGCACAGTAAAAGCACTAGGGTCGTGCTGCTTCACACAAGAAGCATTACACCTTTGGTGCTTAGAGTCACATGGCAGTGAATAATTCAGTTCTTCCGAAGAAACATGCATCACTTTTTGAGCCTGTAACTCCACAAGAGGAGAGTCATGTGGTTGAGATTCCAAATATGAAAAACTGTCCTTGCTGTTTAACTCCCTTGTTTTTTCCTGCTGTAGCAGTTCAAAGGGGGTTGATTTGGTCCGCATTACTGGCCCCTTTGAGTTAAAATATTTTCCTGTTGCATTTGCAGGCTCAGAATTGTGACATGCCTCATAAGAAATGGAGCTGAAGTCCAAACTTTTATGCTTCTGAAGAGGCTCCCCAACCACTGGGAATGCTATTGCCTGCCATTTCAAGGTTGTGTCAGCATTTTTCTTGCAACCGTAATTTAGCTCCAAAAAGTCAAATGAAGGGCTTGATTGAGCAGCACACAAAACTAACTCTGCCTTTGCATTTATTTCAGAAGTTCTAACATTGCCAAAGGAAGAAGCGTCTGCATTTTCCAGCTTTACCCTTTGTTTGCTCTGTTGGTTCATTGTTTTTGCTTCTTTTATAGTGCTGAAACAAAAAAGAAAGAGTAATGATGACTCCGACCTCAAAGAGGCCTCTTCCCAGCATCACAGTGAAGAACCAGCATGAGTTTCACCTCCAAATAGCCAGCAGTGAGATATGTGAAATTGGACTCACCTTTTTGGTGAATTAGGAGAATAAGAATCAAATTGTAGAGTGGAATTTTGCTCAGGATTTGAATACTTTGCTTGAGTCTTCAGGAGAAATAAGCCAGAGATTGTTTTTTAGTGAAGCAATGTCAGTGAAATATTTTAACATTCATTTACTAAAATGAAGACCAAAAAGTAATTTTTCAGGAAATATAAAAATTTAAAATAATTAATGAAAGATTTAGATGAGCTTTTGAGCTTTTGAAATACTGAACCAGCAAGAACTTGTTCATATATTGAGAAAGGATCAGGATAAAAGATTAAAGTGTTATAGAAAGTGAAATGAATTTGCTTATACCACCATGGTTTGTTTGTTTTTGATGGTTTGGATTTGAACTCAGGGCCTTGTGTTTGTTCGACAAGCACTCTACCACTTGAGCCACACCCCCGGGCCTTTTCTGCTTTAGTTATTGTTCAGGTTAGGTCTCACATTTTTGTCTGGGGCCAGACTCAGACTATGATCCTCCTACCTACGTAGCTGGAATTCTACAGAGTTAAACCACCATACCCAGAGTGTTGTTTTGGATGGGATCTCACTAACTTTTCACCTGGGTGGCTTGGAACAGCAATCCTCTCGATTCCTACTTCCTGAGTACCTAGGATTTATAGACATATGCCCCAGTGCCCAGCTCGAACATCATCTTTTCAAATGTGGGAGTTTTAAGATGTTCTTTGGGGCTGACTTCTGTCTTAAGAACATTCTGCTTTCAGAAATTTCATCCTCTCAGCTCTTAAAATTAATAAGGGCTTATTAGGACCCGTGCCTATATCATCTTGTTCTATTTCTTCCTCTTCAGTTGCTCCAGGTATACTGGCTTTCTTGCCATTCTTTTAGCATACTAAACTTGTTTCCAAGTCAGTGCTTTTCCATGTACTATTCACCCTGATTGATATATTCTTGCTCCAGATTTTGCATAGCCAGCTCTTTGTAATTTGATCTCTAGTTAAACACCCTCTCTGAACACATACCCTAAAACTGTACTCCCACACCTATCCAGCCATCCTCAGTCTTTGCTTTTTTTTTATAGTAATTATCATGTTATGAAATGTGTTACTGTGGTTCATGGAAACTTATGATACCATTGATTATAAAACATATCCTAATTTCAGAGATGTTAAAATGTAAAAGAAAAATCATAATTTTAAGATACCCCAAAACACAAACACAAATGTTGAGCTCCATCACTGATATTTATGAATATGATCTTATTTGGAAATAGGTTCTTTTCAGGTATAGTAAGTTAAAATGAGGTCATACTGGATTAGAGTGGCCCTAATACAATGACTTGCATCCATATGAGAAAAGAAAATAAAGACACACAGACCATCATGTAATGATGGAGGAGAAATTAGAGTGATGCCAATGAATGCCAAAGAGTGCCAGTAAACATGGAAACAAGGAAGAGACAAGAAAGATTTTTCTTCTAGAGCTACTAAAGAGAGCATGGCTCTGCCAACACCTAGACTTCAGACTTCTAGCCTCCAAAGTGTGAGAAAATAAATTTTTGTTGTTTTAAGTGCCCTCGGTGTATAGTACTTATTTTAACAATCTTAGCAAACTAATACAGAGATTTTTATACCCACTTTTTTATAAATATGATGACATATGTTGTATATTACATATGTATAATAATATACAGATATATATTATATTAATAAAGGGTGATATGGAAAACATATCCAGTCATGGATAAGTAAACTACTGTGCATCTGCCAACTCTCCTTACAATTAGTTCATAAATTCAATACATCCATACATACATAAAGGATATTTTTGTAACATATAACCAGCCAATATAAAGAGAGATATTGTAAGAGAGATATTCTACAAAAATAGCCTCAGAAATATTGCAAAAGGCAAAAGTCCTTACCCACTTTTACTAATAGATAGAAAAATGAAACTGAAGATCAATAAGGAAACAGCAGACTTGAAATATACTCTAAACCAAACAGACCTAGTAGACATATGTAGATTATTCCACCCCACAACAGCAAAATACACATTCTTCTCAAGTACATATGGAACATGCTCCGGATAAAGCATATATTATGCCACAAAACAAGTCTTAATACATTTAAAAAGATCAAACTCATACAAAGTACCTTTCCTGATCACAATGGAATGAAATAAAAATAATATAAGAAAACTTGAAAATTCACAAAGATATGGAAATTAAATAACACACTTTTAAACAACCAACAGATCAAAAAAAAAAAGTACAAGAAAAATAGAAAATACCTAAGACAAATTTAAAAAAAAACACAACAAAACAAAACTTATGGGAAAAGTAGAGGCAATGTTAAGGGGAAATTTTATATCTATAAATCCATATATTAAAAAATAAAGATCCCAAATGGCCAGCCTAACTTTACACTTTAAGGAACTAGAAAAAGAAGACCAAATCAAAAGCAAACCTATGCTAGATACTGGTGTTTCACACTGTAATCTTAACTGCTTGGGAGGCTGGGATGGGGAGGATCATGGTTCAAGCCAGCCTGAGCAAAGAGTTCACAAGACCTCATCTCCAAAACAACTAGAGCAAGTTGTAGAGCACCTATTTTGCAAATGTGAAGCCCTGAATTCAAACCCTAGTCCCACAAAAACAAGTGCAAACCTAGCAGAAAGAAGGAAATAAATGGTGATAAATGAAATGGAGCTAGGAAAGGATGGAGAAACTCAACAGATCTAAAAGTTTGTTCTTTGAAAAAATAGATAAACCTTTAGCTAGATTGACTAAGAAAAACACCCAAATTATTAAAGTCCAAGATGAAAATGTGGCCATTACTACCAATATTACAGAAATTAGAATTGCTATGAACAGAAGAATTAGAATACTATGAACAATTGTATGCCAACAAATTTCATAATGTAGATGAAATGGACAAATTCCTAGAGATAGCCAATAATACCAAAACTAATCATAATAATACCAAATAATAATAATACAATAATAGTAATAATAATACAATAATACCAAAACTAATAAGGAAGAAATAGAAAATCAGAATAGACTTACAACTAGTAAGGAAATTAAATCAGTAATAAAAAATTTCCCAACAAAGAAAAGTTCAGGATCAAAAGGCTCCCCATTGAATTCACCAAACATTTAAAAATTGAACCTAATCCTCCACAAACTTTCAAATAATGTTGAATGAGGGGAACATTTTCTAACTCACTCATGAAGCTAGCATTACCCTGTTACTAAAGCCAAAGACACCACAAGAAATAGACACTACAGACTAATAATTCATTATGAATATTGATGTAAAAGTTCTGAACAAAACACTAACAAACCAAATTCATCTGCATATTACCAGAACTGTACACCATGATAAAGTGGGATTTATTCCCAGAATGCAAGAATAATTTAATACAAAAGCAACTCAATTTGCCACATTAAGGGAAAAACACCCACATGGTCATCTCAAATGAGGCAGAAAACACATTTGGCAAAATTCATGATTAAAATTCTTAACAAACTGGGAATATAAAGAAACGTTCTCAACCTGATAAAGGCCACATAAGAAAACCCACAGCTAATTTCATACTCAGTGGTGAAAGGTTGAAAGTTTTTCCCCTAAGATCAGGGGCAAAACAAGGATGCTAACTAAAGTTCTATAGTTCTAAAGTTCTAACCCAAGCAATTAGAAAAGACATGCAAATTGGAAAAGAAGTAAAAATTCTTTTCTTTCAGATGTTACAATCTTATATAAAGAAAGATTCCACAAAAAAACTTGCTATAGCTAATAAGTAAAGTTGTCAGGATACAAAAATCAATATGCAAAACCCAGTTTTATTTCTATAAACTAGTAATAGTGAACAATCTGAAAAAGAAAATTAAGAAAACAATTTTATTTATAATGGCATGAAAAAAGTATTTAGGAATAAATTTAACCAAACAAGCAGTAGACTTGTGCAGTGCATTGATGAAAGAAATCATCCAAGACATAAATAGATATTCTGTGTTTATGGAGTTGGAGACAAGCTAGCAATACTATCCAAAAGGATCTACAGATTCAATGCAATCCTATCAAAAGCCCAGTAGCAGCTGGGTGTGGTGGCACATACCTGTAGCCTGTAATTCCAGCACTCAGGAGGTTGAGGCTGGAGAATTGTGAGTTTGAGGCCAGCCTGGGCTATACAGTGAGACCTTGTCTTAAAGGAAAAGAAAACCCTAATGGCATTTTTATAGAAATAGAGAAACCATCCTAAAATTCATGTGAAATCTCAAGAAATACCAAATATCCAAAACAATCTTGAAAAAGAAGAGCAAAGTTGGAGGGCTCACACTTTCTGGTTTTGAAATTTACTACAAAGTTACAGTGATTAAAACAATGTAGGACCAAGTGTGGTGGTGTCTGTCTGTAGTCAGGGGACTGAGGAGGATGGCTGGCCAGCATGGGCAAAATAGCAAGACCCCATCTCTTAAAAAAAAAAGTGTGATATTGCATAAGATATGATATTGGCATAAGATAGACTACAAGCCAATGGGATAGAATAGAGAGCCTAGAAATAAATCCTACATATGTGTGCAATTGATTTTCAACAAGGGTATCAACATCAGTCAATGAAGGAAAGATAGTCTTTTCAACAAATTGTGCTAAGACAACTGGATCTCCAAATCAAAAGAATGAATGGATTCTTGCCTTCAAAATATATAAAAATTCACTCAAAATGGTTCAAAGACCTAAATTTAAGAGCTAAACCTATAAAACTCAAAAGAAAACATAGGGAGAAATCTTCATTGTATCAGATTTAGTAATTATTTCTTGGAAATGACACCAAAGGCACAAAAACAACAAGTAAACAAATTGGATTTCATCAAAATTTAAATTTTTCATAGGACACAATAAAGTAAAAGGCAACTCACAGAATAGGAAACAATATATTCAAATCAAATATCTGATTAAAAATTCATAACCAAAATACATAAACTATACTAAAAGTCAATAACAAAAAAATAAACCAATTAAAAAATGGATGAAGGACTTCAGGAAATAGTTCCCAAAGAAGATATACAAATGCCCAATATGCATATAAAAAAAGATGCTTAACATCACTAATTATTAGGAAAGTACAAATCAAAACCACAATGAGATATATACCTATTAGGAAGGCTACCATCAAAAACAAAACAAAACAAAACAAAACAGAAAATAACAAAGAGTTAGCAAGGATGTAGAGAAATTGAGACCCTTGTGTACTACTGATGAGAATATAAAAATGTCATGACTACTATGAAAAACAATGTGGTGGTTCCTCAAAAATCTAAACATAGAACTGTCATATCCTCCAGCAATTCCACTTTTGGTATGTGTGTAGAAATGTTCATGCGTTCCTTTGTTACCTTTAGATATCTGTAGGAGCTGTAGTGATAGCTCCTGTTTCATTCCTGACATTGTTAATTTTTATCTTCTCCCTTTTTATCTTTGTTGGTCTCTTTAGAGGTTTGTCATGTTTATTAATCTTTTAACAAATTCAGCTGGTTCACTAATTTTCTGCTTTCATTGTTTTCTATTCACTTATACATTCTTTTTTTTTTTTGTGGAGATAGTGGGGTTTGAACTCAGGGCTTTGCACTTGCTAGGCGGGTGCTCTACCACATGAGCCATGCCTCCAGCCCTTTTTGCTCTGATTATTTTGGAGATAAGAGTCTCTCTTTTTGCCCAGGCCTCCCTGGATCATGATCCTCCTATTTTAGGCTTCCCACCTTAGCTGGGATGGTAAGCATGTGCCTTCACACTCAGCTTTTTTCTGCTAAGATGGATTCTTGAGAACTTTTTTGCTTGGAGTGGCTGGGAACCTTGATCCTCCAGATCTCATCCTCCTACTAGGAGCTAGGATAATAGGCATGCACGACTGTACCTAGCTATTGGTTGAGATGGGGGTTTCACAAACTTTTTGACCAGGCTGGCCTCAACCATAAATCCTCTAGGATTACAGGCTTGAGCCATGGGCACCTGTCTTCTTTTCTATATTCTTAAAGTAGAAACTTAGTTTATTGATGAGACTTTTACTGTTTTCTAATTTACGTAGTTAGTGCTACAATTTCCCTTAATACAGTTGTAGGTCCCATAAATTTTGATATGCTGTACTTTCAATTTTATTCAATTCAATGTGTTTTTATTTCCTTAAGACTTACTTCCTCTGACCCAAAGGATTATTTAAAAGAGTGTGGTTTTGTTACCAAGCGTTTGGACATTTTCATGTTATCTTCTAGTTACTGAATTCTAATTTGATCCCCTTGTGGCCAGAGAATATATTGTATCTGATTTCACTTCTCTTCAGTTTTTGAGATTTGTTTTACCAAGCAGGATATAATTTATTTTAAGTGTTTGTTCCATGGGAACTTTAAAAAAACGTGTATTTTTATGTTGTTGGATGGGAGTGTTCTATAATTATCAATTTAATCCTTCCAGTTGAGGGTGTTGGTAAATTGTATATTCTTGCTGATTTTCTCATCAATTGATGAAGGGGGTATTGATGGCTCCAGTTATCACTGTGGATTGTCTATTCCTCCTTTTTCTATTGGTTTTTCTTCACATATTTTGCAGCTCTGTTGTTTGATCCATACACAGTTAGGACTGCTGTGTCATTTCTTTTTTGGTGGTCCTGGGACTTGAACTCAGATTTGTGCTTACTAGGCAGGTGCTTTACCACTTGAGCCATGTTCCCAAGCCCTTTTTTGTTTTAGTTTGCTTCTCAGGTAGAGTTTTTTGCTTTTATGCAGCCTGACCTTGGACTGCAATCCTCTGCCTCCTGAATAGCTGGGATTATAAGCATGAACCACACCCAGCTTGATTTTTTTTGTACTGAGATTTGAATTCAGAGCTTTGCACTACTTAAGCCTGTCTCCAGCCCTTTTTGCTCTATTTATTTGGAAGATAGTGTCTCAGTTTTTTGCCCAGGCCAGTCTGGACCACAAACCTACTATTTTACACAACCTGCCATCATTGGGATGACAAGCACATGCCACCATACCCAGTTTTTTTCCATTGAAATGGGATCTCACAAATTTTTTTTTGCCTGAGCTGTCCTGGAACCTCGATCCTCTTGATCTCAGCTTCCAAGCAGCTAGATTGATCACAGGCCTGAACCACTGGAACCTGGCTAACCCAGGTTGGTGTTTTTCAGATAAATTCTTGCTAACTTTTGGCCCAGGTTGACCTTGAACTGCAATCCTGCTGTCTCCATCTCCCAAGTAGCTATGATTACAGGTGTGAGCCACCGTGCCTGGCCCAGGAATACCATGCTTTATTGGTGAATTGACCTTTTTACTGTTACATAATGCCTTTGTCTTTCTCTTAATTTTCTTGACTTGATCTACTTTGTCAGATATTAATACAGTCACTTCTGCTTTTCCTTGTTTATGATTATATGATACATCTTTTTTCCAATACTTTTCTTCCAGCCAATATATATATATCTGAAGTGAGTTTCTCATAGACAGCATGTAGTCAAATTGTGTTTTCTTTACTCTGTCACTAACATAAATTGGTGTAGTTAGGTTATTTATATTTAATGTAATATTGAATAAGAAATAATGAAAAAACAAAAGTATTGATATGTTAGGGTTTAATTCTGCATTTTAGTTTTGGTTTTCTTTTTGTCCTCTTTCTCATTTTTCTTGACTTTTTCTCTTTCCTGTGTGTTTTGAGTGTATCTCTTTGTATAGCCTTTTTAGTGGTGACTCTAGGTGCTTCATATATTGTTATTACATGTAATATATAATATTATGTATATAATTCACAATCTAGTGATATTTCATTTTGCCAGTTTGAGTGTAGAAATCTTACCCCCTTTCTCCTCTTCTTGTTATAATATAATTAATCATCTTAAATATTTCCTCTAATAAATTAGAACTGCATCAGTATTATATTTTTGCTTCAATTGTCAATTGGCATTTGGTCAAATCATATTAGCTTTTATATCTTAGATCTTCAGCTAAAAAATCCTTTGGATATTCTAAAATGTTCTCAAAATTCAATGATGCAAGGAATCAGTCAACAAAGTGAAGAGACAGCCTATGGAACAGAAGAAAATATTTGAAAACCATAAAGGGGAAATACCTGAATATTCATACAACTCATTAGTAAGAAAATAGAGGGCTGGCACCACCACTTGAGAGGCTGAAGTAGGAGGATCACCAGTTCCAGGCCAGTCTACACTACATAGCAAGTTTAAGGCCAGCCTGGACTCCATAGCAAGACCCTGCCTTAAAAAAACAGAATAACCCAATTTTAAAAGTGACAAAGGACCTGAAAAGACATTTCTCAAAAGAAGACATAAAAATGTCCAAAAGGCTTATAAAAAGTGTTCAAAATCATTAATCAAGGAAATACAAATTAAAAACCACAATGAGCTATCATCTCATACTCATTAGGACACTAGTATCAAAAAAACAAGTGCTGGGGGTATAGCTCAATGACAGAGTGTGCACTAACCATGGTCAAGGCTCTGGGTTCAATCCTTAGCACCCAAGGCAAGAGATAAGTATTGGGGACTGGAGGTATGCCTTGAGCAATACAGCACCTGCCTAGTAAGGGCAAGGCCCTGAGTTCAAACCCCAGTACTTCCAAAAACAAACAAACAAAACAAGAGTAGTGTTGGCAAGAAGAAAGGGAACACTTACATACTGTTGGTGGGAATGTGAATTAGTACAGGTATTATGAAAAATAATGTAGACAGCCCTCAAAAATTAAAAAGAGAACTACCATATTATCAACCAATTCAACTTCTGGATGTATATGTAGAGGAAATGAAGTCATTGTTTTGAAGAGATATATGTACTCTTGTGTTTGTGGCAGTATTATTTGAAATAGCCAAGATATGGAGTTAATCTAAGTGTCCATCCATGGCTGAATAGAGAAAATGTATACATACATAATGAAATACTATTCAGCCTTTAAAAGAAGGAAGTTCTGTCATTTATGACAACATGGATGAACCTGAAAGACATGTTAAATAAGTCAAATACAGAAAGACAAGTACTGCATAATCTCATATGTAAAAAATAAAAAAATCTAAAATCAATAGAAGCAGATTGTAGAATAGTGTTTACCTGGGACTGGGAGAAGGAGGTTTAGAGGGGATGTTGGTCAAAGGATACAAAGTTTCAGTTAGACAAGAGGAATAAATTTAAGAGACCTATTGTACAATATGGTGACAAAAGTTAACAATAATGAATTGTATACTTGAAAGTTGCTAAGACAGTAGGTTTTTAATTTTTATGTGAGGCAATATATATGTTAATTAGCTTGATTTAGCCATTCCACAAAATATACATAAATCAAAAACATCATATTGTACACCATAAATATATACAATTTTTCTGTATGATTTTTTTATAAACTTTATTACTATTATTATTATTATTGTATAGTACAAGAGGGTTTTATGTGAAAATTCCATATAATAGACAATGTATTTCACTCCCTCCATTATATTCTTTTGCTCCCTTCTCCTCCCACCCTTTTAAAAGCGGTATTTGGTGAGTTTCTTCGTGCTATCTCCATATGTATATAAATAACATACCATGATCCTTTTCACACACACACACCCTCCCCTTTCCATTTCCCCCTCTCTGGACCAACTCCCTATAGTGTCCCTTTTGCAGCAAGTCCCATTATTATTATAAATTTAAATTCTTGATGAGACATTCACAGTCACAATAAAGCTAGTATAACCTGAAAAATCGTTCGACTCTGACTTTATGTTTGTTACTCTTATTTCTAACTTGCCAACAGCTGTCTAAAACATGGGATCAGAACATACTCTTGCCCTACATAAATTGTTTCTAAATTTAGCTGAAAATTACACATAATAAGCTAACCAAGAGATTAATTTTCTAAGTTAAAATACCTCAAATTAATTTGTCCTTCTCCACAGGAGATTTTTAGCACAACCATGTGTACACCTGACACTCTAATTCAGTTGTGACAATAGATAAGTCCTACAGTTAATCTGAGATCCTTTGACAAAAAGCAAGCATGAAAAAATGACATAATACTCAGGTTAAACTTTACCTCTCTTCCAGAGTGTTCATCTCCAATAATATCCATGTGTCTCTTAAATAATTCTAATACTGCATTGTAGACCAGTTCATACTGTTCCTAAAGAGCATAACAAACCACAAAAATGAAGAAAATCAAAATACTTGGTGAATTACAGAACCAGATTTCAGGAATATGAACACCCACCAGATATTAATGTAGCAGACCTGAAAGGACCATCAACAAAAGTTATTAAACTTGATGTCCTATGTTTATGTAGACTATTTCAGTTTTCAGTGTACGTATAGGCCGGTAAAAAAAAAGCTTAATATTGTATACAACTCTAGTTAATGTACAAGGATCTTATGGCATATTTCCTGAATGTTCTAACTACACTTTCTTGTCTTTCCTTCCACTATAATCCCTCCTCATTTGTTTTCTTTGTTTGCATTTTTAAAAGTTTATTTTATCCTAAATGTATTTTTTAGCCACCTTATTTTTTTTCTGGAAAAAAAAAGATAATTAGTATTTGGATAGATAGCTTCAATATAAATTATCTAACTTAACCCTCACAATTGTTCAGTTAAGTAGGCAGGCTATTGTACCTATTTACAGTTTCCCAAGGTCCTTCAGAAGCAATTTGCAGGACTTGGCTTAAAAACTGAATCGTGGTATACTTTGTTTAGTGCACTTACATCAAGTTGTCGAAAGTTTGTCCTAGTAAAAACACCAAAGAAAAGTAAACTGCTGAATAAGGTATGGAAATCTGTGGCTATAAAAGGACTCAACACAGAGAACTGAGACGTCTACTACTGCAAGACTTACGGGGTTTTACTACTGCGTTTTTGCCTTTCTATCTGCTCAAGCACTTTCTCTCTTACTTTACACAATCCCATGCAAATGAAGAACAACTTTTTCTGAAAGTATTTTTAGCAGGAGAACAATGTATCATCTAATACTCTTTTTTTTTTTTTTTTTTTGGTGGTACTGGGGTTTGAACTTAGGGCCTTGCACTTGCTAGGCAGACACTCTACCAGTTGAGTCATACCCCAGCCTCTTTTTGGAGAGAAAAATCAGACAGGAAGCACTCATCTGGTTAGACTGCCGTTTCGTGGTTAGTGTCAGAAAAAGCAGTTAAAACTGTTAAGCTATTTGTTTAGCTAGTCATTGATAATGCCAAGAGATGAGGTCTTTTCAGCTGTCGTCTAGCTCCTAAAAGCAGGCCAGAAATGGAATTTCAGAAAATTCCTATTTTTCTGAAATGGGCTATGATTTTATGAATTAAATATTACAATTTATATACCTAAGTTACATACTTCCTGGAGTCTCTATGTATTTACATGGACCATCCTTCTTTCAAGTCTGACAGCACTAAACCAGCTAATGCTTTCATTTCACATAAACGTTCCCCCTCAGGGTTGAATATAGAAAACACCTACAGACAACACATGAAAAAGCATCTTTTTCCACACGCTATTAGTGGAAAACCTGTGTGGGCCAAACAGTTTTATATTATTAATACCTCTTCATTTTTCCCTTCAACTTACAACTTCTAGATGAAAATATTGAAACTACCACTGTTAATTGCTTTATCTCTAACCCTAGGTACAAGTTCATTTAAAAGTGCTCGAGGCCAGGAGATGTAGCTCAGTGGTAGAGCACTTGCCTCACATGTGCAAGGACCTAGTGGGCTCCATTGCCATCACAGTACAAAGAAAAAAAAAGTACTAAAAACACCGTAGGGTCTTGTTATTTAAAAGTAGTTCTAACAAATTTTGCAAAAATGCCTTACACATAATAAACATCCACAAACATTTGATGAATGAATGAGTGAATGCTAAATTCCGTCTTAAAAATGGAATCCACATAGAAATGTGGGTAAAATTCCTGGTGTGGAAATATGGGTGAAAATTATTTTTAGACAATAGGAGATTTGGGGTAAGGGTGAAAGGGAAGAGCCTTCCTAATGGAGTGAATAAGTCTGGGGTGGGTTACATAATATAACACAGTTGTAACTATCTTTTTAAAGTATGCATATAAGGACAAGAGAAACTATAGAGAAATGGTCAGGAGGCAGAGATAAGAGGATCAAGGTTCAAGGCCATCCTGGGGAAAAGTTAGTGAGACCCTATCTCAAAAATAAGCCAGACATAGTGTTGTACGCATGTAATCCCAGCTACTTGGGAGATGGAGGTAGGAGGATCACAGTTGGAGCTAGGGCAAAGTTAACAGCAAGACTCTATCTGAAAAAAAAAAAAGAAAAAGAAAAAAACACCCTAAAAGCAAAGAACGAGGAATGTGGCCCAAGTGGTAAGGCCTTGAGTTCCATAAGAAAGAAAGAGGAAGGGAGAGAGGAAGGGAGGGAAGGAGGGAGGGAGGGAGGAAAGGAAGAAGGAAGAGAACAAGGGAGAAAGGATTAAGGAAGGAAGGAAGGAGGACTATGGTTGATTTTAATTTTATTTTTCATTGCTTCCTAAAATGACCATGTAGACTACATTTACCATATTGTTATCACCTCCTGAGGAGAAATTACAAATTCCTGATTTTCTATGCTTCAGAAATTGATTTATTACTACAAAATTTCAAGTTAACATGACCTTTAACATTAGCTATTGCTTTCTAATAAGTGAAATAACTTGTTGAGTTTTTTCAACTTCCTTTGTAAGTAAGAAATATTATATTGATTTCTTAACATTTTCCAAATAGACAGTAAAATAGGAATGAAAAGAACTTGACCCAGGACAAAGAACAGAGGAAAAACATTGGGGTATTCAGTTAGAGAAAATAGGTTGGACTTTAGAGCACTTAGTAGTAAACTGGTGTAACATCCGAGCACTCAGCTGTTTTTGAATGCCTCACCGTTAAACATAGGAATGGAGCAAGACTCAGACATATGTTGTGATCTGTTCACCACAGTCCATACCTGAGTTTGAACTAATGAAGGCCTCTGTGTTCGCATTTCCTGGATCAAACTAAAAATGCTGAAGTTCTCAGGGACTATCTATCAAATAAAAGGAGAAAATATTTTATTCTTTTTTACCATTTGTTAATAAATCATTGCCACTTTCTCATGGCCTTGTACTTCTGTGATATCTACTCTCCTAATATAGAATAATATCAGAAAAAAAATGTATTTTTAAACAACATGGTTTTTCATTACTCGCACCATGATTTAAAGACTGATGTTTTCCCTAGAAAAGACTGAAGAAACTCTTCAGAATTATTTCACTTGGGGTGATCAAATGTCTGAAACTAAAGATATAATGAGAAATAAAGCTAGTAGATAAGTAGAAGTTTATGAAGGAAATGAAGTCTGCAGATAAATCTAAATAAAGCTTGTATTTTAAACTTCCCATTGACTAACAGACAAGTAAGGCAAGTGCTCTACCACTGAGCTCCACCCTCTATCCTTGGGACCACACTTTAAAGAATCACCAACTTCAGAACCAATTAAATCACCTGACAGAGTGGTTCTGGAAGTTAATTTTCTACACACGATGAACTTTGAAGATGTTTTGAAAAACCAAACTGTCTCTAAGTCTGAAAGCAATGCAGTAAGCAAATAGGAAGTGCCTGCAGAGAGAAACTCACCCCATCTTTTAGCAACATCCATGTATAATCAATAGCACAAATGACACCAGTCCTTCCACAGCCAGCACTGAAATGGAAGATGACAGTAGCATGTGTACTTGTAGAGACTGGATAATTGACAGTAGCTGGAAAAATTCACCAGCAGATTTAAGGAAGAAACCTGGAACAATGAAACTTTTCAAATTCTACCATTTCTCAGTACATGTTAGTTACACAACAGTGAACCTCAGGACAAGTTTTAGGCAACTTCTCACAGGAGTCATTGTTTTACTGCTCAGAAGTATAACTTATTAGACAAACATGAATTTACTGTTCCAGTTACATTTATTACAGATTGTTTCTGCTGTTGACCTTTCCCTTTGAATTACAGTTCTGGCTGGACTGACATTTGGTTTGTCCTAGGAAGAAGGTTCATACATGGCATCTCACCTGCAGTGAATGCATATGGGAACACTGTCATCCTCTTGGTAACAACGCACATCCCAGATAAGCTCAAGGATAGGGTCTATAGATAAAGGCACATCATGATCGGGCCAGTTCTTATAATGAAACTGGTAGATAGTTCGAGTTTCCTATTAAAAAAAAAAGTAGCCAGAATAAGAGGCGAGTAGTCTGACATTGCATCTTTATCTTTTTTGCAATTTATTCTGTTTTCTTCCCTATAGATCTCAGGTAAGCTAGGTGCCTTATGAGAACCTGTGAAAGTAGTGTGAAGTTGCTGTTATCTGATCCTCAGTGCCCCATTCACAAGAGGAAGTAGATATGAAAATAGTCCAAACCAAATCTTTCCCAATAGCATGTTTCAAATGGGTCACAAACCTTTGCCTTTAGAGAGGCCAGATAGTACCTAGGTCAGCCTGAGCTCACAAGTTGGTCCCAGTTTCTATTCACCCTCCAGCCTCTGTTCACCCTAAAATTTATCATTTTTATGTTTGCCATTGGGGAATAGATTGCAGAGCCCAGATTATACCATCGTTTTGAATATGAAGACTTGTTCAGGACATTGAAGGTTACACCACTCTCCATAGTCTTATGCCCAGCCTGGGTCACACACGTGCATATTTACCTGCCTAATCTCTATAGTCTTTAGAGTTTACCATTCCTGTTTTATACTTACACTATTGAACTTGGCTTTTAGAGTCCTGATTATATAATCAGATTTCCTTTTTTCGGCTTCCTAAGAAGAAGAAGATTGAAATATTAGCCATTTCAAAGACAAGCACTCTACTCTAAAAAGTCGATCCTGGAGGCTTTGCTCAGCCCTAATGGGAACAGACATCATCATACTTACACAGGATACCAAGAAAGGGCCAAATTCCAGCTGCGTCTCTCCCAGCTCAGCCCAGTAGCGCTCACACTTTTTCTGTTGCACAAAGCAGAATATAGTGATTTCCCTCCCTACATATTAGTCTCTTCTGGGAAATAAACCCACTCCTCATTCAGAAGCAGCTCTATGTCTTCATCTTAGACTGGGCACTTCTAACCTCCTAGGGCTTAAACCCCTACACCATCATTCAGAATCTCCCAAGGATAGGAAAGCAAACATTAAAGGATATATGAGTTATACACTTCCTAGAGTCCAGAAAAGTAAAACTAGGGATCTTTGACTTATTTTTGATTTTTAAAAAAAACTGTTTATTAAAACAGCTGCACAAGCTAAGTGAAATGCCACATTGCCTTGGTTTTGATTAGAATTGCCAACTCAGAATGGCAACAGTAGATTACATCAGGGATGCCCAGTAAAATGTAACATGAGCCATATGTGTAATCTAAAATGTACTAATAGCCACTTAAAAAAACAAAAACAGGTGAAATTAATTATCAATATACCAAAAAAGTCTATTTCAATGTGTAAACCATTACAATAGTTAGCAGATAGCTGACTTTTTTAAAACCAAATCTTTAAAGTCTTATGTTTCTTTCTTTTTTTTTTTTTTGCAGTACTAGGGTTTGAACTCCAGGCTGTACTATTTAAGCCAGTCTGCCAGTCTTTTTTATATTGGTTATTTTTTGAAATATGGTCTCACTTTATGCCTAGCTGGCCTGGACTTTGATCCTACTATTTGTATTCCCCTATATATCTGGTATAACACCATGCCCAGCCTTTGGTTGAGATGGGTCTTGTGAACTTTTTGCCTAGGATGGCCCCAAACTGCAATCTGTCAGATTACAAGTAGCTAGGATTACAGGCTCGAGTCACTGTGCCTAGCCCCATGTGTATTTTATACTTAAAGCTCATTTTAATTAGGGTGCTAAATTTTCATTGGAAATGTTTTCTTTCCAATTAGATGAAATAAAATTTGCATTTGAAAAAGGTTCAGTTAACCAAATTGTTCCAAACATAAATTTTTTTTTATCGTTTTTACATTTATTCACATGTGTATGCATTGTTTGGGCCATCCCCCCTTCCCCCGCCAAACATAAAGTTTTCAGTAACTGAACTGAGGATCAGTTTTTAAATTTAAATCAATTAAAATAAAAATAATCGAGTTCCTTGATCACACTAACCATATTTCAGGTGTGGTTAGTGGATGTTATTTGGATAACACAAGATTTGGAGCTCTGGCAGTCGAAGATATCTGATTAATAGAAATGAGAAAGTGAATTGCTGCTTTAAAAGTTGTACTTTGATTTTACTTTTAAAAACCAAGCCTATGGATTTTTCTTTTTTCTTTCTTTCTTTTTATTTTTTTGGTGGTATTTGGGTTTGATCTCAGGCCTTTGTGCTTGCTAGACAAGTGCTCTACCATTTGAGCCACACCTCCAGTCCAACAGGGATTCTTCTAAGGGTGAAAATCCTAAGAGTCATGTGGCAATTCCCAAACTGAAAACTAGGGAAATGCCATGATCTTTATCTAGGCACACTTAAGGAAAGTTCTACCAATTTTTCCCTCTTTCTTCTTTATAAATAGGTGCCTTATCAGTAAGTACTAGAGAGTAACTCACCTTTCCCATTTCAAATTCCATACATGCCATAACAACGATCTGAGGGGATGAAATAAAAGCAGTGTAAATATCTATAGTCAGAAAGGATGGTTAATCCGGGGACCCCAGAGTCAGAAAGGAATAATCATTTTTTTTGTTTGTTTTGTTTTGCTTTGCAACCAAAAAAGAAATCCTGGTAACATAAAATGTTACTCTTACTCTTCCTTCTTTTTGTCTCCACTTCCTTTTTCTCTATTCAAATCAGTAAATTCTTGTTACCAAAAGAGCCTGTCAAGGTGTGAACTTTCATTTCCTTGAACAAGAATGACATTGAAATTTTTAATGAAAAATGCCTAAAATTCCATTGACCAATAAGAAAAGCAGTAGTTTTAATAGATGGAAAGACTCATTCACATCCTGACAGCTTACCCTCTTTGTCCCTAAGAACTAGGGAATAAGGTTTCAGAAACAACTCTGCACTTACCAGGACATTGCATTCCCAAATCATCCTCCAGAAGTCCAGAAGAGTTGAGGGTAGAGGACCTTGCGTGGCAATATAAGCCTTCGGTCCATAAACTCCCTGACGGGAAAGAGAAATTACGTGTGGCAGCTATAGATAATGCCCTCTTCCTCTCATCTAGCCCTCTCCCCATCCCGCCTTTTCACATCCCAAAGAAATCTGGAATGCTTTTATTTCCTTTCAGTGTACCTTAATGTAGTTGGCATTGATGTAGCTGGAATCCTCATCGAAGGTTATCAGGGACAGCTCTACCCGGCTATGATCATCTATAACACAAAAGAAAGACGTAGTGAAATCAATAAGGCTTAGAAATCAGGGACTTATTCTGACAATAGTGGATACTGTAAGTGCCTGATGAGTGAGTGAGTGAATGAGTGAATGAATGAATGCTCTTTTGCAGTCATAAATAATATAATCTAATTTGTCAATGCCATGTTCCAAGATTAAGAACAACAAGCAGGTAAAAAAAGAGAAATGATTGAAATTGGAGGAGGTATGGGTTTATAGGGAGAAATGGAACTTACAGGGCAAAATATCCTTATATCTGTTTTTCTTGATATTCTTGGGCCTTTCAGCCACAGTTGTAGGATAGGTTTTGTCTGCCTTGTACTTGGTGGATTGCCTTTTCAGTTTCTGTAATAAAATTGCAAGGAAAATTAATTTTATTAAATAAGGAGGTGAGACCCTCTATAGAGAGCTTGCTTTCTTCACTTTCCAAATATTCTACGTCAACCATTTAGCATCCTCTGGAGCTGACTTCTTTCAGGACAGGGCATAAGAACAGTCAAGTTCAGTGACATTTGGAGAAGTGAAAAGATCACACTTACTACAGCTGAGCCACAGGTAGCTAAAACTTTATTGTGAAACTGATGAATATTTAAGAAACAAAATATATTGCAAAAAGCTAGCTATATGCCCCACTCCACAGGCAGATCTAAAAGTTGATTTACTTTCCTTACTGGTACTTTCCATTGCTATTTAGTGCAATGGTCAACAGAAAAGTGAAGTTCCATTAGTCTTCAGATTACTTTTTTTTCTAAATGGAAATGAAGCTCAAGCTAAATAAACTCTTATCAAAATTTCAAAGATTTCAGTTCCGAAGAGTTTTTTTGTGACTCAAACTTCAAGTGTACACGTCTACCAACCAGTGCTCCAAATAGCATCATATTCTGTTTGTAGAATATGATCTGAGATGGTAAAGCCTAGCTTACTGTGATTGAATGAGTCCTCGTGATAGTGAAGTAATTCCTTAAAATTATTATTCCCATTTTCCAGTACTACACTGTAGACCAAAACTTCAAGTCAGAGGAAGTGATAATTCCTCTTTGGTTGCTTATTAGGAATCACCTTGTCCCAAATTTTATCTCCTTTATCATTCAAAGTAACCATATCTACAAAGTCTGAATTTTGTGAGACCTGGTCAATTTGCAAAAGAAGAGGTGGAGAAGCATCTATGATAACCAGTGGAAAATTTGCTGAATTAAACTAAAGAAATTTTCTTTATTTTCCCACTATTTAATGGAGAATTGGTCACATTAGACACATTAATTACCTCCTATGGGTGAGATTCCTCAGCATCTACTTGGTCTTCCTTCTCTTTAACTTCTGTTTTGAAATTTCCTCCTTCCTTGGTCCTTATTAGTCTGCATTATCTTGGTTCTCCTCTTTCTCTGACTCATCTTTCCCACTTCCCACTATTTCTTTTTGGTTCTCTGTTCTTTTCTGTCTTCTAATTGAAAATTACCCAAAGTTGTAACATTAAATCCTCAACTCTCTGGTTTTCTCTCACTACATATACATTTGCTCGGAGATAGCATATACATAGGTGGCATATAAGTGCTTGTTAATTTATTTAACTGATTCAATTTTAATTATATTTTTCAATCCCAATTAGGTAAATCTCAAATTTCTATATTGGGATTTTCTTACTAAATTCCAGGCCCAAATTATCAACCACGTCTTATACATTTCCACTTCAGTGGAATCAGAACATTTATAACTCAGAATTAGTACATTTAAAACTAAAATTATCACTGTCCTCATTGTAAATGCCAAGGTTATGTTCTTTAATCCAAACCACCATACCCTAGAACTGAGAGTCATTTTGGATTCCCCCTTTTCCACAATTCCCACCTCAATTTCAGTTATCATGTTCAATTGATTCTTTCTGTACAGTGTCTCACATTAGATCTTTCCTGGATATGAAGTGCCCCCAAATGACTTGTGTTAAAGGCTTAGTTGCCACCTGATGGGATTTTGGAAAGTAATTCAATCCTGAGGGCGCTAATCCTATTCAACAGATTACTCCTTTGAGGATTCATAATATTTTTGATGGCATTAATGGGAGGTGGAGGAAGAAGGTCACATACCCCTGGGTACATACCCCTTCCTGGCTCTGTGTCTCTGCCTCATGGGGGACATGAGATGAGCATCTGCCTCACCACACCCTCTCTACCATGATGGTCTGCCTCCCAACAGGCCCACAGTGATGGGACCAAGTGACCATGGACTGAAATCTCTGAAACCATGAGCCAAAATAAATTTTGCTATAACTATTTCTAACCATGTGATTAAAAAGCATTTGGAACCAGGAGGACTTTGGAAAAGTTTGGAGGTGCAGGCTAGAGAAGACCTAAAATGCTAAAAGCAGAACTTAGCAGTAATTCTGGTGGGAGCTCAGAAACAAGAATGTGGACAGTAAAGGTTGTGCTCATAAGGTTTCAGATGGGAACAAGGACACTATTGGGAATTGGACTAGAAGCCAGATGTATTACATGCTGGCAAAGAATTTGCCTGTATTTTGTCCATGCCCTGAGACTGAGGCTGAGTTTAAAGGTCGATGGACTGATTAATTTGGTGGTGGAAATTTCAAGGCATGGCATTCAGGTCATTGCATGGCTGGCTGCTTTTCACAGGTTTGTGGCAAAAATTGAGAGCAAAAAGCAAAGCAGAGAGGATTTGAAAAAAGCCCACATAAAGGGGATTAAGAAAAGCACAGTTTCTGAAGAGACTAGTACCATTAAAAAGAACCTAGTACTTTGTGCCAGGATGGTAAGAAAGATGCCTTGAGGGCATTTCAGAAATTGGCCAGACCCCACCCAATCTTCCTTAAGAAGACAGCACTGCTAGAGCACCCTGCTGGCATAGGGTTTCCTAAGAAGTTATTTCCCCAGGATTCATTTCACCATGCTCAGCCACCAGGCAGGCACTCAGAGCTCATTGTAGCCATAGTCCAAGAGGGACTGCTACTTCTCCCACTGGCAGCAGATTTTGTTGTCATTCAGTGATGCTAGTTTTGTAGCAATGCAGAATTCAAGAGTTACAAGGAGGCTTCGACCCAGATTTCAAAGGAAAGCTTAGAGGCCAGGCAATGTATGATAGGATTGGTGTCCCTACAGGCACCCCTGAGAGTGATACATGAAACTATAAAGGTGAATTTGAAGATGCAATGAAGACCCCAGGAAGTTAGAGATGACAGGAACAGGGAATACCTGCTGTGGAGAGCTAAAGGTAACAAACAGAGCCAGTCCAAGAGAAATGTTGGCTGCAGGTTTCAAAGCTGTAGGAGCAGAGCTGTCCAAGTCCTTTGGAGCTCATATCATGTGAAAATGTGTCCCAGGTGTTAGACACAGAGCTACAAGATTTAATGTTTTCCCTGCTTAGTTTCAGTCTTGCTTTTGTCCCATTCTTCCTTCCTATGCCCTCATTCTTCCTTTTCGGAATGGGACTGTTTATTCCATGCCATTTCATCTTGTTAGTATATAACTTGTTTTGTTTTTTATACAGAAACTCACAGCTAAAAGTTTGCCTTGAATTTCACAGGCAACTTTGGGCTTAAACTTTTGAGAATGCTGGAACTGTTGAAACTTTGGGGACTCTTACCGATGAACTAAATGCATTTTGCATTATAAGATGCCCATGAGCCTTTAGGGGCCAGAGATGGAATATTATGGTTTAGAGATGAAGTTCCCACCAAAAGGATCATGTATTAAAGGCTTGAGTGCCAGCTGATGGGTTTTTGGGAAGCGATTAGACTCTGGGGGCTCTGATATAATCGATGAATTAATCCCTTGATGGATTCATAATATGATGGCATTATTGGGAAATACAGCCTAGTCAGAAAAAAATAGGTCACTAGGGTTAGGCTCTGGAAAGATATACCTTATCTCAGCCCCTTTCTGTCTATGTCTTTCTGCTTCCCAGGGACCATGAGGTAAGCAGCTCTGCCACACTACACACTTTCTGCCATAGGTCCACAGTGATGAAGCCAAGTAACCATGAGCCAAAATGAATCTTTCCTCCTCTAAGTATTTTGTCATAGTAACATAAAACTGGTGGACACACTTTCTATGCCCACTAAGATATCTTAGTTTAGGCTCTTTTCCTTAAAACTTGAACTGCCGTAGTTGCTTCTTAATTTGCTTTCACACATTTCTCTCCCCACTCAAATTCATTGGACTCACTTATGTCAAATTATTTAATTTATGTCTTGCTCATCTTTCCTATGCTCAAAACAACTTTGGTTGTTCCCTTTTACCACTTGGGAAAAAATATAAACTCCTTAGCCAGATACTTAAGGCTCTCCCCAGATGGACCCCAAGCTAACTTTCCCATTTCTCACACTGTCTTCAAATTATTAAGTTTCTAAAGATGACTTCTGCTTTCTTTCAAGATTGTATAAATTGATGTCATTGACAGTTACATGTAGCATGACTTCTTTAAAACTAGGGCATGCCTTTTCTTCTCATAAATTTTATGTGTCCTTTGGTATTGCTTTTGTATTTCTCAGTCATGATTGCTTTCTATTAGGTGACCTAATAAGGTTTTTCTCAAGTGACTAGGAACAAGAAAAAAATTATGGGGATTGTTATTACTGTTATTTAGTTGCTTACATTTCATATAGTATTTTTGCTTGATTAATGATGATTTGCATCTATCTGTAGGAGTTTACTTCAGGAGATTAAGTGGCTTTAAAAATGGATGACAGTGAGAAAAGAGAGACAAAGAGGCAGTAGAGAATGAAAGTTTGATCCAGCAAATCCAAACTCATCAGTAGGTTTTCAAAACTGCAAGGAGAGGGAAAAGTTGAGCTCCTAACATGTTGTGAGATGAAAAGTCAGAACACAGTTATCAAATATCTAGAATCTAGTTAAATTGGTATTTTCTAAATGTAATAACAAGTATTTCATTAAATTATTATAACAACCCAGAGTATAGGAATGTAAACTTTATCCAATTAAGGATGCCAAGTAAAACAGCCAGCCAGTGCTTGCTTTTTTGTGGGACCACAAATAACATCATGTATTGTTCCAAGAACTATGTTTTTTTCTATTTCTAGAGTTTAATAGACACAGGCAACCTATTTAAAATCAGGTACACAGTCAGCTCTTAAATCCTAGTTTTGTACCCTGATTTATTCTTACATATTTTCACAACTGATTTGGAGGGAAGATACTGAAGTTGTACCTGCACAGCACACTTGTACACCAAGATGGAAATACTAGTGGATGAGTTTGGGATTTTAACTAAGAAAATGGCACAGGCACATAGAACTATAGGTGATTGTGCTGAAGTGACACCAGTTTTTCTACTCTCTCTGCCATATGTACCTCCAGAATGACTGTTTTTACATT